TTCTATTTTAAAAACGTTGCCAGGTACGTAACGTCATTTTAAAAACGTTAAAGATAATGTGAGCAATTATTCACTGCAGCAAGGAAAAGATCTATTTGTACTATAACAGCAGCCCAACTTCTTCACCTATTTTTCTTTTCAAGAATATTGCAGTCAAATCTAGGAAGTAACGAGCAGGATAAAAAAAAAAATAACTAAATCAATAAAATTTCGTCAAAAACCAGTCAACTGGTGCAACATTGATGTTTATCGATACATTTCGGGAATTGGGGGCAATTTCGATGCAAGAATTGACTTTATCAATGACGTATGTTTTCATTGCACAGTTGTTATAATCAAGTTTTTAGAATCTTATTGAGTCAAAACTACTGTGACAAGTAAAATAAAATCTAAGAAATATGTTTCCGACAACTAAACAAGTTAATACAATCTAACAGGGCATATTTGGCATGCACAACAGTTTATTATTATAATTTAATCAGATAATAATTACCAATTGTATTTTACTCCTTTATTTTATTTATACATTAATTTTACTTTATATCACTGTTTGATTTCTCTATTTTGAGTATTTTATAAGTGTTGGTAAAATTCAAGATTTTTGTTTCGATAAACTTTACATTCAACAAAATAACAACAAAACAATTTATAACTAACTTATTAACTTAAGAGCCGAACTATATGACTCATCAAATCACTAAACCATCAAATTATTAATTTTTACGTCTTTAAAGCAAATATATGAAAGAAAAAAATTGTAGATATAAGATTAGTCCGAAAAAGGCACCTTGAGAAGGCCCACCATGGGCTGTCAAGACGCTAACTGAAAAAAAAAGAAACTGAATGTCGCTTTTCAGGTGATCCTTATTATTTTCCATCTGTCCCATGAACTACGCCAAATAAGAAAAATATTTAAATGGCATTCGAAAAACAAATTAAGTTTAAAAAGATGAGGAATAACTTTTTTTGTGAAAAATAATATCAGAGAATTAAATACTATAGTGCATAATAAATGAATAAAAACTATAAGACAAATATCTTCATCAGTTAGTGAGTAAATAGCCTTACAGGACGATGTTAGAACTTTAATAAAAACCTCCAATCTTAATAGGGTACTAAAAAGAATCGTATTTCTTAAACTCACGACACAATTAACACGCGACTCATTGACGCTTAACACATGACCCTTTTTTACTCACTTCATTTTAACAAAATGTTGAATAAAATTTAATAGGAAGATTAAAAAAAAAAATGGATGGTACCTAATTGTAAATTTTTGTTTAAAGTATCTTCGTTTAATTTATAAAATGTTCTTTATATCTATAATAAAATGTAGCTCATAGTAATTTTTTAAAAAAGTGTTTTTATATTTATTTTGTAAAGGCTTTTTTATGTTTCTTTTATACAACGTAGCTTACAGTAATTTTATGAAATGGTGATTTCTTCTGATGTATCTTACAGTTATGTCATAATCTGGACACAATTAAGAGAGGTGAAGGAAAGGGTTTGGGAGTCTTCAAATTTTTGACTAAATTTCTAAATTTTTTCAACGAAAACATAAGTTTTAGATGACATGACTGTTCAACAACTGAGGAAGAATTAATAGTAATTTAATTCGTAAATTTTGAATTGCTGTCTGAAAAGCTATCCACTCGAATAAACTTAATAACAATTTATTTTTTCAAAAATAAATAAATTAGGAATACAAAAAATATATATATATATTATTTTTGAAGAAAAGCATTATTTGTGTACTACATTCATTTCAATAAAGCGCCAAATTTCAGTGAATCAGAAAGGACCACATTTCTATAAAGCTACCGATAGGAGAACGATAACCATTTCAAAAAGATCAATTAAGTATTAATTTTATAAAGGAAATAAATTTGAAATTCAACATTTTATGCTATGATAAAGTAGTTAAAAGAAATACAACTTTCTTAAAAACATTAATAAAAAAAAATTAAATTAAAACTTAACTTAAAAATTCAATGTTTTATGCGATAAAAAGACGCCTCGTGATAATCAATCAGATCCTCTATAAAATGAAGTTATTTCTCAAAATGTAACTTATACAGTCCATGGCTAAATTATTAAACGCTCTATAATATTCTATGTAAAATCTTAATTATCAGGTGATGCAGCTTTATTGTTTTTATGTCACTGTTTGCAGTTGTTTACGTTAGTCTATCAATGGGTTAACATTGTAATGAAATACAGTACACTCTCGATTATCCGTGCGCGGATTATCCGTGCTCATTCCGGAATCAACAAAAAATATTAAAGAGAAACATTTTCAAGATTAAAAAAATTTGATTCATGAAGTTATAACACTACCAAATTTTTGGAAGCAATATTCGTTATTGAATTGAAGTATATGGAATATCATCAGCCTGGTCAAAATTAAAATCGTCTACGTTATCGCGATCTTGGAGAAAGATCATACCGCTTGATGAACAATCTTCTTCAGATGTTCAAGAAAAAAAAAAAATATGATAACAGTATTCTCGAACAAGCTAAGGTTTCGAAATTCTTGATGAAGAAAATTTAGAAGATTGGTTTCAAAGTGATGCATGTGAGCCTGGCTTCCAGTATTTGACTGATGAAGACATCGTTATGTTGTTAAATCAAATAGTGATGATAGTAACTGATGCAGAAGATGTAGTAAATGAATGAAATACAATTTCTCATTCTGCTGCTCTGTGGAAACTTTATTAGATTATATGGGAGGATTTGATTACGGTGACATTACTGCGGTTCGTAAAATATGTGTATCGATATATGGCGAAGATGCATTACACATTTTTTAATAAGGAAAATTCCTAGTTTGATGTTATGCATGCAAATGTCAGTAATTTTGATATCTTTTGTACTGATATTGAATTTTTCATTAATAAAAGGAGTTTTCGGATTATCCGTGTTTTTCGATTGTCCGTGCGACCTATTCCGGTGATTAACCCGGATAATCGGGAGTGCACTGTACATTAAAAATAAATACAAATAGGAAACATATTTAAAAAAATCTCCCGAATAAAAATCCATTACATCGATGTTTAAATATAAAAGTATTATATATGAACTCGTGCAAAACATGTCATTATTAAAACACTACAAGTGCGTCTAATAATTTGATCTGATTATTATAATACAATGCTTGATGTAATAAATATTCTATATTTATATAATATATCGTCTAATTTATCTAATTAACATTATATATCGTCTAATCTAAACAATGGATACACTAACGTAAGCAAGATTTCAGTCACATAAACACAATAAAGCTGTATAGAGTATCATTTGATAATTAAGATTTTACATAGAATATTAAAGAGCGTCTAATAATTTAGCCATGGACTGTATTTATTCATTGAAATATATCTTAAAAGTTAGTTTGTAGTAAGAGGGACTGAGGCAAAAAGCATCGGTGGAAGCGTGTGACAAACATTTAGAAGTGTTGCCGCCCACGCAATCTGTAAAGATGGGTCCAGATGTCATGCAGTTATGATAAGTGCGTGTTTACCACCGAAATGCGTAATAGTAGTGTCAAGAAGGGGTGAGAGTACCTTTATTTGAGATTGTATTTTTGTGACCAATTTGTTGTCGATGAAAGGTCACAGCCGAAACCTTTTAATAAACAACTCGATTTAATAAACCGCAGGCCAAACAGATGGTTATGAATTATTGCCCATAAAATTGGATAAATAGAACTTTTTTTTTTCTTTTCTGGAATATCTCTCAACGCATTATTTATTTCCCATTGCACGATTTCACTTGAAGTTAGTTTTCGGAGAAAGTGTGAACATTCAATAGGCTGAACCCATTATTTACTTCTTATTGCAAGATGATTTAGAAACTCCAGGATCAAGTATTGGGAGAAATTTGCTGTCTCTGAGAACTTTTTAATGGGACTAACCGGCATACATGGAGAGCAAGATCACGAGAACCTCCCAACGTTAGCCTGACGCCAAGGGGACTCTAACCCATGATCCGTCTACCACTGAGGATATTATTACGGCGCCACTGTGGTCTGTGTGATCCGGATGAATGCGACATTCGTATCGACCAGCCATCGCTGGGATTCGAACCCGGTTAACCTCATTGGAAGGCTCTTTTATAGCTATTTAATAGTAGTAGCCAGAAAGTAACCAGAAATTTGTAAATAGTAATTGTTTTTTTAAAACCATAACTATTTTGTTTTTGCGAGTTTTTCATGACATCCATTTCAGTTTAAATTTTTGTTATTTCAATAACTTAGTATTGACCCTAAATGTTAATTTCTGAATGAAGAATTAGTTTTAAAGATTTTTATAACTGATTTAAATTATTAACATTTTATGCTAGAACGCATTTCAAAGGGGTTTTAACTTAGAAGAGAGCGAAGCGAGCATAAGTAAACTATATAAGAATTGCTTCGGTGTTTGTTTGAAATTGTAGTCAATTTTATATTTTATTTTTTTATAATTCTAATTTTAAAAAAAAAAGGTAATGTTAACGCTGTTTATCTGATGACAGTACAACTAACTATATATCATAAAAAAGTATAGATGATAGTCTAAAACAAGTAAAAAAAATTTTGCCGTGAATAATTTTGAACCTTATTTTATTCCGATGAAATATATATTGAGCTACTTTATTTCAAATTATATATAGTTGCACATTTTGTTAGCTGCAAACAATTTAAAGGTTTGTTTTGAAAAGAATAAAAAATTTAATTTAAAAAAAGAAAAGAAAAAAAGTCTTTTTATATTAGACACTGTAAGTAGCAGACGATATTATGCTTTATTTTAATATAATTCTTGTAAAAAGAAAAATGTAGAATGCAGTAAACTATAACTAAAAATAAAAATAAAAAATCATATGTGTGTTTTTTTTCTGAAATTATAAAAAATAAATCAGTATTCTAATCGGCAGAGTTCAAAATTATTTGAAAACGAGAAAATACTTCTTTTGATAATGAATGAGAAACAAAGAATGAGGAAGAATAAATGTGTATTTACCTTTTATGAAATTCTCTTTTCTACTAGGAAGTTCATGTGTTTTGGCATTTTTCCAGATTGGCACGTTTCCAGGGGGATTTCCCCCATATTCTCCCAGACAGCATCGTCTCGCGTGTCAAGGTCGGAACAAAAAAATTCTTCCTTTTTATTTTTAGCTATGCATTTTCATTTCTAAAAAGGAAATCTTCAGAAACTTTCACTTTCACTCATAAAATGGATGACACGTGACCTTACATATTTTTAATATTTTAAAAACGTTTCTGCATCATATTTTCTCTGCTTTCAAAAGAATTACCAATTACTTCTTTTTTTAAAAAAACATATTTTCCTTATTAAATTTTTTCAGTTTTATTATTATTTTTTATTAAAACTGGTGAAAATGCATTCAAATATTACGATTCGCTTATTTTTTTCTGACATAGGTGTGGTGAGATAAAAGCGATGTAATATGTTACCGCGAATAATCGAAATCAAGAGAATGTCGACTTTCACCGGTGAATGTCCAAAATATTTTTTATATCCGATTTGATATTAATTTATTCGTTGATATTGTTGTATTTATTCGATATTTTAATATCTGCTGAGGATAGATTAGGTGAAACATCAGTGTTCTAAGTACCAGTTAAACTCATACCGGGTAGTGGCACTTGACCTGAAAAAAACATCGATGTAGGGCATACCGGGCAGTGGTACTTAACCTTAAAAAAACATTAATGTAGATCATACCGGTCAAAGGTATACCGATCAGTGGCACTTAACTAGACCTAGTATATGTTTCGGACATTTACCGAACCGGCTACGTGACTGTCAGCATTCACAGGTAGAAGTCAACAACCACCGATTTCGGTCATTTACAGTAATATATACATAATACATAAAACAGCTCCTTATTTAAAAAAATAAAAAATAAAAATTATAAATAAAATAATAATAAAAAAATTGCATTTGTATAGATTTCAAAATTAATCTTAAATTTAAATTTAGGGACAGAAAGAGATAGGTAGAAATTTCTTCGAAGAGATATCCGAGGTCAAGAGTTTTGAGTACGGAAGCAAACCACGAAAGATTCGTACGGAAATTTTAAAAAATTGAATGAAAACCTAAGTTTCATTTCTCGCAAAGTTAAAATTTTTTTACTTAAATTCAACCCTGAAATTAGATTGCTGCAATAAAAGTCAAATAAAAAAAAACAAGTTGCCACTTTCTTATGTAAGCATGTTGCGAAAAGAAAAACAGACTTAACGTTATTTATATAAGACCTCTGACGTAAAAAAAAAAAAAAAATAGTGCGTGGAGTCTCTCCGCGAGGAAGAAGTTAAACTTCGTACCCTGCGACGTTAATTGTAGAAGAATCAGCAGTCGTAGAAGGATCACTAGTTCTATTCAACGACTCTTTTTCCTGCTCCGCTCGCTTCCGTGCTCTGTAATAACGGTAATATTGTGCATTTTTCCCTCGTGGACCTCTTGAACCAGTGGAAGTGCTTGTGGTTGCCTCATCGTCTCGCCCTGGAAAATGTATTTGTATTAATAATGTATGTGAATGCGTCATAATGTAATTTCAGAAGAGAAAACCTAACAATCAATTGATATTCACAAGAGACGTACCTTGACATAACCTTAAATCCGTCGCATTGTCCGTGGGATTGTTTTCACTCATTTTTTACAATTGTTATCCACTAAATTTGAAAATAAAAAATACTACCCTATTAAATTATATGTGTATCAAAACAAACTAAAAAAATATTTATAGAAAAACAATACTTTTATTATTTTTATGCTAGTGAGAACCAAAACAATATGGAAATGAATGAGGGAAAACTGGATCCTACCACGTGATTTCCCGGCCAATAAAAATGTAGCGTTAAACGTTTAACGCAACCTTGTTGGAAGTCGCATAAGAAGTATAACTTCAAAAAAGTAGGATATCTTTCAATAATACAATAACACCTTTTTTTTTCACTTACATCTTACCGACACTTTTCTTAAAATATTAATTTTTTATGTATTTTAAAAGTAAAAGCTAAAGTAACAGTAAAGTAAAAGTAACGATGAGAAAAACTTGCAAATCGTTTTTAATCAAATAATTTTTTGCTCATACTAAATCTAAAAAAAGACATTTTGCTCAGATATATCTAGTTTGGTTGATGACTGCTTTTCCGAGTTTATAATCAGAATTTTATTTATTCCGAACTATTTTTAATTATTCCGAATTTTATAATCACGATGCGTTAAAAAACAGAACATCGATGTAAAACGATCGATCGCAAAATTTCCCCATATTACTAATTTAGTGCTTTTTCTTCTTTTTTTTTTTTTAAAAAAATTTATGACTATTTTCTTAACTCAAGATTTTTAAATACTCTCAATAATGTCCTATTCAATAATTATCTTTATGTACACTATTATACGAAATTACCGTTTTAATATGTTATGTTACTGATAATAATCTCGATATCAACGTATGGATTAATTAAAGTTAACAATAACGATATTTCCGTGTTCTATGCGTATTGCGATTGTCGTATTTGATACACCTACGAGTATTATCTGTATAGGGTGACCTGCATAAGACAGAATCTAGAACTGTTCCTACTTATTGGCATCGTGGTCCCTATATGTAACTGAATTCACCTTGAAACTTTGATTTGAGAAATTTAAAACTGTGGCTTATCATCATGTGGCTCCAAGCCATTTCATATTAATTGCTTCAATTAAGATTGTTTATTGTAATGATTAAAATTATAATCGCAGCATAGGATTTCTTATCAATTAGATTTTAGAGAAGTTTAGTACCGATAGAAATTAATATTGACGTTCTTACATAGAATTTTTTTTTTTTTTTTTTAAATACTCGTGCATTTTTGTTCCTAGGCTAGGATCAATATATTTTATAGCTGCTATCAAAAACACGTGCTTGAACTTTTATATCCCTTAAATTTTCATTCAACGGTAATTATTTAAAGCAGTTTTTTTTAAACAAATTTATTAGATCACTTTTATAAATCTAATCGAAATTCTACAAAAACTTTTAGACTTTTGATTCAAAAAAGAAAGAAAAAAAACAATAACAATATTTTTTGGTACGATGACAACAGTTTTCAATTCCCTTACATTAAAAAAAAAAAGGTCCCCCTTTTAAATAAATTTTATTTAATGTCATTAATTTGAAAAATTGTGATGAGAAAAATTTTTGCTCTTTTTTTTTTTTCTAATCGTTTAAGGCAAGTGTTACCCAAACTTATGACTTTTGTGTACCCTTTCTCAATTTTTCGTATGACGCTGTGTACCACCAATAAAAAAATGAATGTATTTTTCCATAAATATGTTTATTTTTCTTTTTTGGTACAAAGTTTTTATTAATACTAACCAGCGATCCATATTCTATGTTAGAGATAAAAATTATATTTTATAAAAATAATCAAAATAAATCAAATTTATTACAAACCTTCACTATAAAAAAATTGCACAAAAGTTAAAAATCACAACTGTTCGTTGACACCACTCATGATTAACTGTTAACTCTGCAAAAAATAGCCAATAGAAAAATACATAATCGTAAATTTTAGCTTTGTTTTTAAATAAAATGTTTTGAAATTTTCTTTTGTTGCAAGATATTTCCGCATAAGAACGCGCACCCCCGATTAACTGATCCCGTACCCCCCGGGGGTACGCGTACCACACTTTGGGAAACACTGGTTTAAGGTATCCGACTAGTTTCGACGACTTTTTTTTTTAAATATTAATAAAATTTTTTAAAAAACAAGTTCATTTGTTTTATTATGTGTAAAAACTTATAAAACCAGCAAAAAAAATATCATTATTGTTAGTTTTTTTTCAATATGGCCATTTATTTGCATATACCCTAAACATTGTAATTTAAAATTTCTATCTCCTAAAACAAAAAATCCTTTTGGAGCTTTTATTTAGAAGGCTACCATCTATGTTTTGAACTATTATCTTAAAAACAAGTGTATATACTACTGAGTTAGGAACCCTGTAGTTAAAAAGGGCTAACTTCCGCACTTGTCTTCCACGAAAAATATGCATAAAAAATGAAATTTTTTCTCTCTTAGTTTGTAGTTCAAAACATCCGTGGTATAATCACAATCACTCATAAAAAATTATAGACAATTATTTTAAAAACAACTTGAGATATCATAATGTATCAGGTGGTGTAAAATGTGAAAAAAAATCTGATTTTGAGATAAAAGAAAGCATTTAAAGATCACTAGTCTATCCAGTGTTATCAACCTTGCACAAAAACTGCCATAACTTTGTAGATAATTGTAGTACAAACAAAAGTAAAGCATTTTTAGAAAGCTATAAGTACCGGAATTCTAAATTTATAAAAAACTCATTTTCAAAAATTTTGCCCCAAATCATGTTTTTGCACTACTACTTATACCTTAAAAAACCGTATGTTAGTCAATTTTTAGAAAATCAACATACTATTTAGTACATATTATAGAATATTTAGGATTAGGATTATGCTTTTTGGATAGTTAAACAATTGATTTTATTAATAAGAAGAAAAAAAAGTTTTATTTTCAACGTATTTTTACTTTAAAAAACACAAAGAAAAAGAAAAAAATTAGCACTTTGGAAGTTTAGATAGTGCATTTGTTAAGCTTCAAACAAAGACTTATTCTACATCATTCTATCTCTTTCCGCCTTATAAAAGCGTATGAGAGTTTAAGAAATATCTAGCATTGTCATAATACAGACTTTTATACTAAAATATTTTTAACTCATTATTATTATTATCTTTATAGAATACATAACTTCTTACAAGTTTAATAATATATTTATAGGCAAAAACTTTTATCTCACAGTCCATAGAAAAAATGCTTTTTTTGTTTCATAGTTTCCTTTTTTTTTTTAAATATTGAAAAAAAAATGAACATTTTCTTACATTCGATGCAGAACCAAAAAATGTCGACTAGTATGAAAAAGCAATTATAGCAATATGATTTCTGTATAAATACTAAAAGAAAATAAATTTTTTTTAAAAAATCTAAATTATTATAACTTCTATGAAAAAAAAATATATATAAATATGAATCTTAAATTCATTCACATTCTATTTGAAAACAAGCTTTCCTAAGCATTATTCGGAAAGCACAATGCATTACAATTTGAAAAGAAAAAGAAAGAAAAAAAGAAAAACATTAGTTGAAAGTAAAAAAAAAAAATTCATTTCTCAACTTCTTTTCATCATTTATGGCTTTATAGTACATGTTTCTATAAACTTTAAAATGAATTAATAAAATCCTATTTTCAAAACCGTATTCACGAACAATAGGGAAAAAAAATACAGCAATGTGTGCATTTAAAAATAAATAAATTTCAAAAATGATATCTAATTAAATAAATATAAAAAAAAACTGCTTACTTCTTTTTTATGCATTTCTTATCTGATGGCTCAAAATTTGCGTTTGGTAAGAATTAACGAAAAAATCTTCGATTCGGAAGGCAACTAACGATAGAGAAAAAATGATAACATATAATTTTTCTCACTTTTTCTTGTCTATTTTTTTATAATGGGTGTTTATGAAAATCATCGTGACTGATGCGCAACAGATCTTTTCAGCTTTTCAGTTTAATCCATTCTTTCGCAACTACATGCACTTTTTCAATATTTTACGAACGGCAACAAGTTTTAAGTTATTGAAGAGACAAAGAAAAAAAAAGTTTTATTTAGTTCGTAGAAATATGCGAGGAGCCATTGGCTTAAGCTTACAGCTCTGTAAGTTATATTTATTCGAAATGGCTTCCGATAGCCTATTTTATCTGAATTCGAGTTCCGCTCACGTAAGTTGATGAAGTAATAACAGATTTGTTGTGTTTTTCCTCATGGATTAGTCCTGCAGTGGTCTGATCGGTCTGACACCGTTCCCAGACATCTCTTGCTGCGGCCAGTGTGCCGGTGGGTGACCACTTGGATCAGTCTGCGTAGGAACCGCGGGTGTGCGGTATTAGTTCTCGTTAAAACTGTTCTACAGTAAAATGCTCGACTTCACATGCAGGTATGCAGGTCGTCGCGCTACCGAGGCTGGGGTGCCTCCGCAGAGGATCAAAATTGCGATGGCATGTCTTCGGGTCATTCTCAGGGATGTTTCCCAGACCGTCGCCTATAGCCCATTGTACAGCTCTATTGCGAGACGTAAATGAACCACAACTACAACCTAATGGAGGACTCAAGACCTGCTATAATCTTAATTGCCTGTTTGTTTCTGAAGAGTTTATTTAACATATCTTACGAATGAAACCCATTTTATTTCAAAATTTGATAGAGTTCTTAAATTTTGTGTTAAAACATTTTGAAAACTGTTAGTAAACAGAGAGAACTTTTAGGGTAATAGCTCTAATTTTCGCTATGAATGAAAAGGAGGGGGATAGTTTTATTTCTAACTTCAGAATTGAGCGTGGGACCTGAGTGACTGAAAGGTGTCATCCGTCTTTTGGAAGCATGTAGGTAGCGGGTTCGAGTTCCGCCATACCCTCTTTTGTGCGTGATATTCCCACCTGCATTAAGAAATATTATAAATGTATTGGTTTTTGGAGAAAGTTGAATCAAAGCAGGTGCTTAAGTTTTTATTTTTTTCCTAATCAACAACGTGAGTAAAACTGCTTGCGATTTCAATTACACAATACCATTATAGTTCTAAGAACAAATCATATTTATTGAGAAATAAAAAAAACTATATTTTGGAGTTGAAAGTACTTTTATTTTGAGAGTGTGCTTAGACTCGGGTTTTTTCCAAATTGGTTGTTACAAATAGAGGATTCTGTATTACAGTACATGAAAGTATTATTTAACACATTTTATTACGTAGCTAAAAACAATCTTTTCCTTGTCTTCCGGATTGGGTTCAAGGTTACGGAGATGAACGTTAGTAGTCGTAAAACCAAAAAATTGGGTCAGCTGTTCAACGACGGTTATTAAATAAATAAAAAAATAAAAATTAAAATTAAAATTAAATTTTAAATTGACAAAAGTATGCAGAAATGGAATAAATTCCGCATAGGATTTTTTTTCCTATGCTGTTTTCAGTTATCATTTTAATAAGAAACATAATAAATTGCCCTGCTCAAGCGAAGAAGACGCACNCGTAGCCAGTGATGCTTGACTTCGGTGATCTGCTGAGAACCGTGTCTTAACGATCAGTCCACTGCGGGACTCTTTCCTTGTCTTCCGGATTGGGTTCAAGGTTACGGAGATGAACGTTAGTAGTTGTAAAACCAAAAAAATTGGGTCAGATGTTCAACGACGGTTATTAAATAAATAAAATTAAAGATAATTAACAACCGCGCGTTGTGTTCATTAAATTTTAAATTGACAAAAGTATGCAGAAATGGAATAAATTCCTATGCGGTTTTCAGTTATAATTTTAATAAGAAACATAATAAATTGCCCTGCTCAAGCGAAGAAGACGCACATCAAGCACGATAAAAAAAAATCCGAAGATATTTTTTATAAATAATGAACTTGCGTGTGATGATACTGAAAAAAAAATTTTTTTTTTTCAAAGGGTAAATTAATCTGCAGAGGGTTTCTGACAACCAGGACCTCTGGTGCCGTCCTATTCTCGTCACTCATTTTTTTAAAAGATTAAAAATCTTGCTGAATTTGCGGTACTTTTTTAGGAAACAGAAAGGAAAAGAAAAAAAATCACTTTTAGTGACTTCATCATAATATTAGGATGTATAAAAATCGATGTAGTCTTGATATCGCCCTTTCATAAAAAAGAAAAATAAATAAATAGTAGAATGAGGAAGTGAAGCATACATTTTGGGGGTAAAACACAGGCCATAGAATTTGTGGATAGTGAATCCTCTTTTATGTGATGCTGCCCATAAATCTGGTATTAAAGAAACTCCTGCTCTCTCTCCTATAGGAGCCCTCGTGTTAAGTCGTGTGTGCCTGATTTATAGACGTCAGATAAACACCGTATTATGTCTCAATCATTTCCTTCTATGTCCTCCCTCCCCCCCTCTCTCTCTTATATCCAATGGGGGGGGGGGAATATGAGAGGGCACGGAGGGGAGAAAAAATGGATTAGGAAAAAAATGGCGCCACCCAGCGCGCGTTTTTATAGGAACGATTTTTTGTCTTTGTCATGGTCATTATGAGTTCAGTAGCTGTCCATTCTACGCACCATTTCATATTTTATTGTGTACTCAAGAACACCGATTTTTATAGAATATGTTGTTGTTGACTCTGTTCTGATTCTTCAGTGATATTTAATCAAGATAAAAATAAAAAAAAGAATTGATAAAAATAACTCCGTCTCAAATTCTAAATTTATGTTTATTAAGAATTGGAGATCTGAAAGTTTTAAGCGACATTTTAGTACATCTGCCTTAAGTAGACTAGAGCAGTAATTTAACAAAAGGTAATGTGTGGAACCCTTGGATTCCGTTGTAGATAGGTCATAAAAAAGAAATTATAAAAATAAATCCACCTCAAATTCTAATGGTCCCGCAGTGGACTGATCGTAAAGACACGCACTCCAGTAGAACAACGAAGTCATGCATCACTGGTTGCGGTCAGTAAGCGGGTGGGTGACCACTTTGATCAGTCTGCGTAGGTACCAAGGGTGTGCTGTATGGGTCCTCGTTAAACTGTCTTACCTTAAAGTGCTCGACTTCGCGTGCTGGTCGTCGGGCTTCTAAGGCAGGGGAGCCATCCCTTCTGCAGAGGATCAAAATTGCGATGACATGTCTTCGGATCATCCTCGGGGATGTTTCCCTGACCTTCGCCAATAGCGCAGTGTGCAGCTCTAGTGCGACGTAAATAGTGCGATAACTAGTGCGACTACTATCAAATTCTGATTTTATATTTAATACGAATCGGAGATCCGAAAGTTTAAGCGATATTTTAGGTAGACAGAGGAAATCTGCTTTAAGTAGTCTAGTCTAGAGCAGCAGTTACCTAATGATGCTCCGCGGAACACTTGGGTTCCATCGAAAGGCCACATGGATTGCGAATCTTTTTTTTAAAAACCAGTTATGTTTTTAGAAACATGTCATTGAATGTGTGTGAAAGTAATTATCCATTATTTATTTAATATTTTCCTCTTTTATATCAATCCATTCAGCTTAAAAAATTACACCTGAAAATGTTCAGACAGCTCCTACATAGCTATGTGAAAAGTGCACATAGGAGCTCTTTTTAATTTCTAACTAATCATTTTATTAATTTGTGTAAAGTATTCGAATCAATGTGAAAAAAAAAAATACTAAAGAAACCTCACTTGTTTAGATAGCAATGTCAGTTGCGTAAATATATTACAAATTTTCACTTTTTCACATAAAACATTAATAGCTTCTGAACTATGAGTCAGATTGTCTGAAGATTGATTTAATCTAATTCTGTGGAGAAAAAAAAATACTTCGGAAATAATGCTTTTCAGAATTTTTTCCTTCAAATCCCTCGATTTCCCAAAAGAAAGGGGGAAACGTACAAATGAGAATAGGGGTGTTTTTAGGTATCATTTATAAAGGACATAACAAAGCTTTCTGTGTAAAAATATCTTTTCCCAAAGAAAATTTCAATTTTACTGGACTATCTGTTTACGAAAACAAAACTCCTGCATTGTTTACAAAATCTAACTAAAAATTTAATTTGAGACCTTTCAAGAATTACGAAAGCAAATAATGGTTAAGAGTTTTTTGATTTGCTTACTGTTACTTACTTGGGCACTGAAAGGTATGAGTAATGCTTGCGTAAGACGCTAAAATCCCCTTGTTTTCCTTTTTTTTAAATGCAAAAAGTGTAACAAGAAAAAAATTGGAATAGTGCAAAACTTGAAAAGATTCATATTTGCAATTAAAGTTAAATTTTGACAAGGAAAATGAAAAAATTTTTAATGTAAGTTTTTAAGGTAAAATCTTTTGATTATTGTAGGAAAACAAAAAATTCCTAAAGAAAATATTCGACTCAAAATTTTATAAAATAAATTAAAGTAACATTTTTTGCAAAAAATAAGGAAAGAGTATCCTAAAATTCTTTCATATTCATGGGAATGTGTTGTAATTTTCCAATTTTGCAGAGAATGGGCTTAAAATTGTCAAAAACATATCGACGTAATACTTGAATGGTCCCTTTTTAGATTTGTCTTTAGTTTAAAACTAAGACAGTTTTTAGCCTAAAACTAAGACAGTTTTCAGTTTTAGAACTAGACTCTCCTTTTCAGCTAAAAATTAGTAAAATTTATCATAATTCTTCTACTAGTATTTAATTTTTCATAAGGCACTGCGACAGCAGGGGTTGGGTAAATTAATGAATATTACGAAATAGTTTATAAATAATACTAAAATGTTGTGCGAAATCTTGAAAATAAACTAAAACTGTTACAAACTTAGCAAATTATTAGTGTTTGAAATAGTAGATATATACACAGCCAAGTGGGGAAATTATTGCATTTTCCCCACATATAGGGAAAAAGTTAGATTTGAATGTCGGGAAAATTTCGAACGTTTTTGGTAATAAATAATACGTTTTTTTGGAATTTTTAAAGTAGAGAATAATAATTTTGCAATGTAAAACATCACGTAAAAATTATAATTTTAA